ATTTTGATTAATCTTTTTTTTTTTCCTCTTCTGTTGTCAGTGAAGCCTCATTACATTAAATGGGAGATCAAACAGAGTGTATTACAACTTCCACTGTGTGCTGGTTTGTTTAGTGCATCACTTCTTTGCAGGTTGAAAACATCAGTAAGTTCCAAAGACATAGTTTTGTGCACAGCTGGGCATGTATAACATGTTTTGATAGTAGTCTGAAGCAATAATGGCTTCTAGTACCTGATAATGCTTTCTAGCCCCATTCAGTTGTTTGAATTAGCTTACATAGTGGTGGGAAGTATACACTGATTTAATTTGCTTCACTTCTAACTGCAACTTGTTACAAAGAAGAGGGAGTCAAGCATGTTTAAAGTAGATCTCTTGCTGGCAGCTGAAGCCAGCAAAGGTGTAATGCCTGTGTGGTTTGGGAGAGGTAGGGCTCCTGAGTGCTGCTCCCTGAGATTCTGTGTGCCCATCTGGGACATTTCACAGCCATAAGCCAGCCATTTCTCAAGCGCAGTCACTGGGGGAAGGACATACCTAAGGAAAAGCTTCACAAAAACTACATCCTGGTTTGAAAACTGCCTGACCTGGCATGTGGGCAGTAACAGAAAGCAGGGCTTGAGTCCATGTCTATATCCTTTTTCATTTGACTTTGAATTCCAGCAAAAGGTTTCAAACTAAAACAGAAGTCAAAGTTTTCTTACCAAGAAGAAAGAGTGACAAGTCTGAACCTCAGAGCAATCAGGTTAAATGAGCCTGGGAAAGTTGGTGCCTCCAGTTTGTTAAGAGAAGCAGACTCCATGTTACCCTTGACTGTCCTAACGATAGATGAGATGGAAAAAAGCCCTCCCTTGCTTTGACCCAGAGTTGCTCTTTCCTCTGATGGTTCATTGATTCCCTTTGCTTCCCTTCTCATTTAATAGATTTCTATAAGTTGGGCATTTACAGACCTGCTGCTATTAACATTCAATGTTAGTGGACCTGAGAGCTTCTCTGTCAACTATGCTGGAGCTTCTGAGCCTGCCGATTTAAAAATGTTCATTGCTGATAGATTCTAACATCTCTCTCAGTTACTAATAGACTGGAAAGTATTTCATCATCTTCAAGCAATGAAAAGCAAATCATCCCTCTTTCCAAATACTAAAAGGCTGTTTGAACACTTCTGCATTTTCTGCATAATCCTTCACAATTCTCCTGTCTGCACTGAGCAGTGACCCCACACCGTGGCTGGGATTTCTTTTGCAAACACAACTTTCTTGTGCTAAGCTCTGTCAGTCAAGGATTTTATTCTGAGGCTGCTTTGTTTTGTGGCTCGTGGTTCTTGTAGGTCAGGAGTTTGCCTGGCTATCGATTTACAGCTAGTTATATGTAGTACTAGTGTTTGACATTTCTGTCTTTGTTGTTCTTTGCTGACATCACCCCCAAACTTCAACCACGCCAGTCATTGCTTTAAGATTTCATGGTGAGTGTCTGACTCTGTTTGACATTTTTCACAGGTTTTAGTGTCGGGTAAAATGGCAAAGGGATTAGGGAGACGAGACCATTTCCCCAATGTTTTAAATGCATATATATTTGTAGTGTATGTTTAATAATGAATATATATCTTTTTTTATATAAAACTCCCAATAGCAATGCCTTATAGCCCACTTTTGACAAGGTAGAGTCTTAATATTTGAATGAAGGGCTTGATATTTAGGAAAGGACTAACCCTGGTGAAAGATGCGCATTTTTTCTTTTCCTTTGAAATCTGACATGTTTTGAGTCCCTCACCATGTCAGTCTGTGTATATTCAGCTGTGGCTTGCCTGTGTTCAGGTATGTAGTCCCCAGAGACCTTGTCCAACAACAAACACCACTCCTGGCTTCAGGAATGAGCAAGATTTTACCTGCCATGCACAGCAGAGGACAGGCAGACCTCAGAAGCAGGGCAGGTGGGAGGGCTTAAAAGGAAGGGAGGAAGAGAAGCAAAAATAACTGGCCAGGCACAGGTGGGTCCAGGGAAAGTCTAGATGATAGAGGTGGAAAGATCGGTGTTCCTTCAAGTGTGCTGTCTCTTAAGAACATGGAATGGAGCCCAGCATCACCCTGTGCCTCCTGTGCAGGTCTGGCAGCCGCATGTATTACATGGAATTACCAGCACAGCTTGTGTGTTCAGACTCAGTCACCTTAAGGTCTTTAAAAAGGATGACAATATCTTATTGTTACCAGTAACCACATTATTTGTTGGTACCAGGCACAGAAGGGGAGGAGGGTACCAGAATGCTGTCTTCTTCAGTAGTGGTATCTGAGGAAAAGCTCTGTCCTGGCAGGGCTACCTATGCTTCCTTTATCTGGAGAGGCATCCTGACTCAGTGTCAGCAGGGCTGGAGGTAAGGCAGTAAAAGGGCTTACAGATTATGGCCTGATCACTGAAGTTCAGGTGGCAAATCTCTCTTTTTCTGAAGTCATTCATGCTCCCCAGACTCTCATATACCTTGTGCTTCACTGCCATATGTCAGAGATCCTCATTCCTATGTCAAAGCTCTTATCTCCTGTTCACACCAGCCTCCCCACACCACTGTGCTGTCCCTGGATGGAGTATATGGGCAGGGAAACATGCAAAATACGTGCATGTAGTGAAACATGCATGCAGCTACTCCTACATGGACTAAGGAAGCCCTGTCGTAGGGCTGTATCCTCTCCCTCTGCTCACTTGTGTTTGTTCTGGACTGTAAATCTCAGTGACCACAGGCTGTTAACTGACAATGCAGAAAATTATCCAGGAAAAGAATACTCATTTATCTTATGCTGTAAAGTTTTCTCATAGCACCCACTACAGGTCACAAGATGTGAGCAGAGAGAGTCCATGGCACTTTGATTTGTCCGAGTAGGATGGCTTTGGTGGTCTTTGTACCTTAAAGCCCAGTGGCTTTCTTTTCTTAAAACTATAGTTACAGTACTTTAATCTGAAGGGCTTTTCCTTAGTGAACCTTTCTCTTGTACTCGCACCACTGTATCTCTTCGTTTTCATTATTAGCAGATGGAGCATGAGTCCCAGTTCTTTCCTTCCATCCTTCCTGCTAAGAGATCCCTGGTGCCTTGGCAGATTTTTGTGGATACTTAATCTTTTGCTGCTTTTCTTCCAATGATTTTGATTAACTTTATCCATGTACATAAAATTATTTTGTGAGCGACACTTTCCATTAAAGAATGACATTGGAATTAGGTTTTAGTTCCCTGATTCCAGTGAAAACATCGCATGCTTCCTTTTTTCAAGTCTGAACTTCATGATTATTTTTCTGTAATCCACTTTTAATTGTAAGTACCCAGCATTCTGCTAGTTCATGCAGTACCAAATGACACAAGGTTGCTCTGGAGTGCTCCAGCGAGTGTCTTGTGGGGAATATTGAAATTCCATGGAAACAACACGAGAACCATTATCTGAAACAGCCTCTTCAGGCAAACCATATGGGGTGACATATTCTGCACTGCTTCGATAATCCAGGCACAGATATGTTCACTGGTAACTCTGCAGTAAGCATCACTCATTTGCTTTGTCTGTGCAGTATTAATGAGCCATTTCAATAGACAGCGGGTTTCAACTATATTTGCTGCATATTCATGTTGCTTCCTTCAAGTTGTTTCAAAACTCTTTCCACTAGATTAACTTGGAAGTCTCAGTTATTCCATCAGGTGCTGGCGTACTGAAGATACGGGCCATCCTGTCCTTTCCAGCCTTGGCTGAGGAGTGGGGCTAATGTTTGGAAGAGGGATGGTGTTCTAGGCACACTGCCTTTGCTGAGCCTCCCTCCAGCAGGGAGCCTTTGCTCCTGCTTCCAGCACTGATTGCTGGGGCATGTAAAACCTCCTTATTGCTTTCTGGTTCATCTGTCATCCGAGGGCTGTGGTTGCTAGCAAGCAATGGAGCCTTAAGACACTTTGCAGATGGGCACACGTCATTATGGTGGAGTGAGAATGTGCAAAATCCAGAATAGAGAGCACAGAGGGAAGAGTTAGATGTTTTGACTAGGCTGATCTGTGCTGTGCCTGTAAGCATCTCTGTGTGATGCTACTATGATGTAGTCAGGGGAGATTAAACACTCCAGATGTTGGTCTAGGTACCTACAGAGCCTCCCCACGTCTGAACACAGCATTTTCCATGGGGCATAAATATTCAGAAAAAATTCATACACAGGTTTTAAAAACCACAAGAGACCTGGAGAGGGGCTTTGGAAAAGGGCCTGTAGGGACAGGCCAAGGGGAATGGCTTTAACCTGCCAGAGGGGAGGCTGAGATGAGCTCTTAGGCAGAAGCTCTTCCCTGTGAGGGTGCTGAGGCGCTGGCACAGGGTGCCCAGAGAAGCTGTGGCTGCCCCATCCCTGGCAGTGTTCAAGGCCAGGTTGGACACAGGAGCGCAGGAGCAAGCTGCTCTAGTGGAAGGTGTCCCTGCCCGTGGCAGGGGTTGGAACTGGATGAGCTTTAAGGTCCCTTCCAACCCAACCAGTTTGTGATTCTGTGGTAATGAATACAGAAGCCTCTGGGGTTTGGCACTGAGACCCAAACAGAGCGCTCTGGTTCATACTGAAAACCACATGAAGGTTTCAGGGGCACCAAAAGTAATTTGACATTTAAGAAATACTATAAATGGCTCCCTTTTCTCTTTGTGAGCATGCAGAAACACAGCCCTTAATCTGAGCGTCTGGTTCTGATAGCTACATGGAGCTTAACCTGGACAGCAGCTTAAAAAAACAGAAATAGATTAGTAAGGTTACTTACAGGTCTCCCTACAGAAAGACACTAACACAACTCTTGAATAACCACTTCCCAAGCAAAGGAACTCACATATTTAAACAGAACCACAAGGATAATTGAAAGAGACTGGATGTTGCCATGACCAAACTGGGTTTTTGAGGTGCTGGTAGGTGTGAAGGTGGGGGAAAAAGAGGGGTTTTCAATTTCAGCCCGTTGTTTTTATGCTACAGCTGGTTTACCTTAGAAGAGTAGAAAGTGAGCACATGATTTATCCAGCAGGATGGAGCCAGCAGTGCTGTGGTTGAGGGGAAGCAAAGGACACAGCTGAGGACTGGAGGCAGCAGCCACATCCTGGAGCAGTTTGTTGCTGTGATTGTGCCAGGGCTGCTGTGCCTCTGGAGCTGGAGGAAGAGTACAGGTGAGGAGCGCTTTACCTTCTTTTTTGGGAACAATCTTCTGAAGGGAAAAAGCACAGACTAATGAACAGCACAGATGTCTGTACGTCTGTCCTGCAGCCTTTCAAGTCCTTGTATTTCCTTTCATGTGTTGTTAGAAGTAAGTTTTATTCTATTGCCTTTTCCTTTTCTGTAAAGAGTGAACTGGTAGCATTGCACTGTCTCACCTCTAAGGCTGTGCCTGCTCACTTCTGTTCTCACATCAATCGATGCCCTACCCTGAGTTCCCACTGCCCCTCCAGAGCAGGTTCAACATCAGGTAGCTGTGCTGGTCCCTTTCTTTCTGTCTCTGGAAACTGCAGTAATTTTAAGTATCTCTCTTCAGAGCTGGAGCAGCTTCTCTATTCCCAGGGGCAGACATCCCCCTGCCTTGGCACAAGCTCTTCCCCACGGCTGTCGGGATAGGAGAGCTGGGCTGGTTCAGCTTGGAGAAGAGAAGGCTCCTCAAGGGGAGACCTTAGAGCAGCTCCAGTGCCTAAAGGGGCTACAGGAAACCTGGAGAGGGGCCTCAGACAAGGGCCTGCAGGGCCAGGCCAAGGGGAATGGCTTTAACCTGCCAGAGGGGAGACTGAGATGAGCTCTTAGGCAGAAGCTCTTCCCTGTGAGGGTGCTGAGGCGCTGGCACAGGGTGCCCAGAGAAGCTGTGGCTGCCCCATCCCTGGCAGTGTTCAAGGCCAGGTTGGACACAGGGGCTTGGAGCAGCCCTGCATGACAGTCCTCCCTGAGCATGGCTTCTGGAGGAAGTGCGGAAAGTTCATGCCTGCTCTTGTTGTGTTCTGGGGGTGATTTGGGGTCCCTGCACATGTCCCCCTTGGGTGCGTGGGTCAGGGTGTGTGTTAGGCAGGCAGCTCTGCTCAGAGCACAAGAGGTGTGCTATGAGATGGGACATGGTGCATGGTATTCCCTATCAGGTATGGTGTTTTGGGAAGCTGTTGGGAATTGGGCTCTTCCTCAGCAGTGAACCAGCTTCCTAATAGCATTTAAGTTTGTTTGCAGGGCAGGAGACTGACCTGGGCTGTTGGAGACCTGTGTTGGTCTGGTTGTACCCTCGTTTACTCACCAGGAGCTTTTCTGTCAGCAGAGATGATGCTGTTTTGCTGCAGTAAAACATCAGAAGTCCCTGGTGAGCAGCGCAGCCTTGATGCTATGGGGACCAAGGGAAGATGCGTGCATGGGAGAAGATGCCAGGCGAGTGCTGAGTGATCAAAGCTGAGCCCCAAAGAGGCTTTGACATCTGGTACCCCATTCCTGGTGGGTTGGTTGTGCCCAAAGGTCGAGGCAGGGGGACTGGAGGGGATCCCTTGCTGCTAGCCAGAGGCATGGTGATCCCAGGTGATCCTGCAGGGTCCCCCATGACTGAGGTGATGGCAGGGGGCTGTTTTCAGGGCTCTGCTGTGAAAGCAGAGAGCTGCACTACAGAGGCAGAGCTGGACTGTGCTGTCCCCATAGGAAAGGCTGATGTAGGTCAAACAAGTAGGAGCACAGGTAAATCTGAGCTGAAAAGTTAGTTTGAGGAACACCCAGAAGACCTGATGCTTACCTGAAGAGGTATGAGGGCTGCAGGGGTCAGCTGCTGAGCTGAGGCTGTTTGGAGTGAGTAGTGGCTGGCTTTTGGACCGAGATCATCTTTATGGTGCTGGGATTGCCTGTGGGCATGTTCTATAGGTCTGTCTGGGACTGAAGGTGCAGCTGGTTCAGCCTTCCCTTGTCAGATGCTCTTCATTGTAGATAAAAGCTTTTTCTGATCATTCTAGTTCCCATGGCTGGGAAGGGGTTTATAAATGGCAAAGGCTGTCCTGTGGGTCGGCTCTTTGGGAAGTCTCTCATCTGTCTATCCCAGGAGCAGGTTGGCAAACCATCCTCCTTACTTAAATGTGCTGGCAAGAACAAGCATCTCTGTGCTTGAACTTCAGCCCACTCAAGGTGGCAGTTCCTGTGGCTGCCCTGTTCTTTTGGATGAGCTTTGGGATTTGCTTAGCTGTGGCTGAAGCTCTAACTCTTGCTGGGTATAGAGAAGTGAGTCCCAGGGCTTGGCTGGGGGCTGCTGGAGCTGCACAAATCCAGTGCACGCATCTGCATGCCTGACCCTGCTTTGGTTAAAGCAGGGGATTGAGTCCTATTGTTTGTAGATAAAAGCTTTCTATTTCTGCTATTTCTCAGTTTTCCTAAGTGCTTATTGCTAAGAATAACTGCTATTTCACCTCTTGCCCGCCCTCCATCAGCTGCTTGGAGCCACCATTTTAGACGTCATCTCGAGCTGCAAAGAGTAAGTGATCTTGTTTTCCAGAGGCCCTGTTTGAAGGAGCAGGAACTGGATTTTGCCTTCATTTGCTCTTTAAGGAGCTGCCACAGGAGGAAAGGGCCTGTGTTTGCCAGTTCCTCACAGCCCTTGCTGAGAAGCTGCACCACAGCAAGCGCTGAGAAGGAATCAAGCATGCTGGCATCACACTGGGCTAGTTTTCCTCTTGGAAATCAAAAGTGGAGCAAAGCCACAACTGAGACAAGGTGACTTTCAGTTTATTCAATGCATTGCTTACTTAATGCCTAGTAACAGATCTCTGGAGCGTACCTTGCCCTGCTCCTCACTCTCAGCTTGTCCCACAGCTCCTGCATCAGAAAGAGCTTGTTACTGTGCTAGTGGAGCTAAAAGGGCTGTCTCAGTGTTGCAACTCTTATTTCGTTGCAGGGGGTAAGTGCCATAAGGAGCTGTTTCTCTGCCTTTGCAGATGCTCCTTTCAGCCCAGCTTGCTTTTTACTCCATTTCAGCAAGGGCCCAGCAAACACAGCTCCAGCTGGGAAAATGAGATGTGAGGGCTCCCAGCTTCTTCCCAGCAACCTTCTCTGCTAATAACTGCAGGGAAACCAAAACAATACAAATAACCCGGCTTTGGCTGCTAAAATCCAGGTAAAGCAAAGCAGTGAAATGCTGTGATAGAGACCTTGGAGATCCTTTCTCTCTTCCTTTGCTCTTGCACTAAACCAGGGTCTGCCTTGGGCTCTGGGCCCTGACTGGGGGAGGCAGTTTCCAAAAGCAGCACAAAGGAGTTTTATTTGTTCTTTGCTTACCACTTTCTCTGACCTCCAGTGCTGTGCTGGGAGCAGGATCTGTACCAGGCAGGATGTAGGCCCCAGAGGGTCATGGCAGAGAGCCACTGTCATCTGAGGTGATTTTTAACACTAAACTGTGTGATTCACTTTGCTGACACCACCACTCCTTGCTGCAGAGCAGAACCCTTCACACCAGAGCAGACTCATGCGCCATCCCTGGGCTGAGTCCTGACTGCCCTCCCCTCAACCAGGTCCAGCTTCATCCTGCCCCTCTTCTTCAGACTTACTTACTGGTGAATGGCTTAAGAAGATGTACCCCTGCTTCCCATCCCCATGCTGATGGCTGTGAGACTGGGCCCTGTCCTTGCCTCACTGCTGTGTAATGGGACTGATAGTCCTGAGAGCACATGGAAGGCTCCTGGGCCCACCAAAGTACACAGACTCCCGGGGCAGGAGCACCAAAAAGCAGGTTGAAAGCTCTGGGGCACCCCAAAAAAGCACACCAAGGCCCTTGAGGACACTGGAAAAGAAACAGAGGGGCTCCAGGGGTACCCGAAACCACCCTGAGGAGCACTGTTGGAGAAGGACAAACAGAGCAGTGCTGGTTTCCCTCTCAGATCTCCAACTAGCTAGGAAACCACAAAAGCAAACCAAAAGGTTGAGAAGACCAAAGGGGAGACACGGATTCCAAGGACTGAAAAGCAGACAGAGGGCTTTGAGGTACCTTGGTAGCACCAGCAAGCATATACAGGGGTGTGGGGGGCAAAATAAATGGACCAAAGACTCTGGGGACACTGGAGGGGCACCAAAACCAAATCAATTGCTTATGTAAGTGACCTGATTCGCAGAAGGAGTCCTGTGTCTGTCCTCTTGCCTCTGTGTGCTGGCATCCAGGCTTCAGATGAATTTCATGGTCTGTAATCATCCCGGGAGAATTTCCCTCTTGTTCATCCTACGGAAGAGAAACTCTCCCATTTCCACTCGGATCTTACAATAGCTTGTCAGTGACAAAACATTCCCAAATCCTCTCATTTATCAAATGGCCAATCCTGTTAACAGCTTAAGAAACATAATTACCTGCAATCTCTTCTGCTATTCATTTTATGCCTACACTTCCCTCTCTCTGGCAGCTTCCCAGCAGGCAAGTCAAGAGCTGAAGCATGGCTGCAGCTACCAAGTGCTTGAGCAATGCAATTTCCTCTAATCACCTGCACAATGATAGCAGGAGTTTTGCTTCCCTGTTTGTAGCAGCAAGGAGCAGGTGAGGAAGGCAGGCATAGAGCCAAAAGCATCAGCTGACAGTTGTGGGTACGTTTCCAAGCATGGCTACAATTTAAGTGTTGTATGGTGGGAACATCATTGATTAGGGTCTACTTTTAGGGCACAAGAAATCACAGCTACACTTGGCATGGGCACAAGTGAGCTACTATCCATGGGCACAAGTGGGCTCTGAGAGAAGCAGCTAGAGAGGCTGATGCAGGTTTGGGTGCTGGAAATGGCTGTGGGAGCTTTGTCAGCAAGAAAGCAGGGCCTGAAATATCAGTGAGCTGGTGAACTAATGGAGAAATTGGGATCAGCTGGAGACAGTCCTGATTATTGCATTGCTAACAGAGACTGATTTTGTCTTATTTCACAGTGTATCTACAGCTTGTGAGAGACTTTGGCTCAACTCTCAGGGAGGATTTACAAGAGCAGTGCTTTCAGGCTGGAGATCTGCTGGCTTCCTGAATGTTGGGTATGTACAGGACAGCTTGATCCAAAGAGAAACCCATAGGACCACCGTAGCCTACCCTAGACCTGGGAATTAGAAAATTCCTAGCTCTGTGCTATCCATGCTGGCTGCTGAGGAAGCTGCCTTTGTGCCTTAAAATCTTGTACTAGCCTGACATTATCACTGTGCATTTAACTGGCCAAGGCATGCTTCAGCCTACACTCTCCAGTTAGACCTGCCTTCCGTGTGGAAGGGTTTTTCTTACACCTACTCTACTCCTCTTTTCAACCCTGTCAGCTATTTTGGATCCTTAGGGGTTGGGATAAATGAGGTGCGTTTCTTCCGACACCTTCCAGTGTTATTTTTAAGCAATTTTTTATGCTGCTTGCCAACACTTTATCCTTACAGTTCTTTGAATGTTGAATTAAAAACCCCTATGAACAAGCTGTATACAAATCAGAAGTTTGGTGTTTTGTTTTGTTTTAAATCAGACATCATCTTAAGAGATTTGGAACTTTTTGATCTTCCTAAGATACTGAATACGAGTATATTTTGGTCACTATCATAGAATAACCCTTTCTTTATTAGCAGTTTGAACCTCAAATGCCAGTTTTTGCAACTACTTTTCCCAATGGAAATAGTTTAATTCACTTCTCAAAATACAGGCACTTACATTGATGAAATTTCAGTGTAACCCAAATGCCACCCAGACCAAGACACCAAAGAACTTTGATGGCTCTGGGCTACATGCCCAGAGCTGTGTGCTGCTTGGGAACAGCAAGGACTTGGATATAGAATCATAGAATCCCAGACTGGTTTGAGTTGAAGGAACCCTAAAGCTCATCCAGTTCCAACCCCTGCCATGGGCAGGGACACCTTCCACTAGAGCAGCTTGCTCCAAGCCCCGTCCAACCTGGCCTTGGTATGAGACTGTGTGAGTGCTGAGGAGGGACTGAAGTAAGCTGTTTTCTTGTGTTTAACAAGGTATAATATATACATAAGGAAAGTAAGGACTGCAAATGAAGAAACTGTACCTAAAAGAAAATGAAGACTGCTCCAGTAAAATATAAAATGGGACAGACATCCTTTTATACAAGAACTTGCTATTTCTTTTATGATATTTATTTCAAATCATGCAAACCCTTCAGAGCAGCCGTAATGCCCAGTGGAGTTCTCCAACCTAAATGTCTCGTCATCAGTGCAAGAAACAAAGATAATGTAATTTGAATACTGGATGCAACAACATAGGCTGCTCTGGAGGCAGATTCTCCTTGCTCCAAATGGGAATGATGGCTCCAAACAGACTCACCAGAACAGACTGAAAAGCAGATGTCTCATTTGTGAGGAAATGGCCAATCTCTCAGCTGTTTTCCCCTCTATTTCTTTCTTCCTAGAAAGGAAAAAAAAACAAACCAGTTGCATAAAGATGCTGCTGTTTCAAAGCAAAATTTTAAACATTGCTGATTTGCAAATGGCATTTCAGCATTTTCCTGAGAATAAAATGCTGCTCTGATGCTGTGTTTAAATATTTCATTCCAGCTTCCCGAACAAACTTAAAATCATAATAAGTCATTTTGACATAAAAGCGCGCTTCTCAGAGGTGCCCGTAGCTTAGACATCTCCAGCTTCAAGCACAGCTGCAGGAGCTCTCCCTGCTCATGGCTGATCAAAGACAAACCATGCTGCCACCCACGAGCTGCTGCTCATCCCCAGCACCCAACCCAGGAGGAAAAACGGATCCTGAACATCCCGAGTGCTTCTTCCTGTGGGGCGACGCTGTCTATGCAAAATACACGTCGCTGTCGTAACCCTACTGTGAAAAGGTGGAGGGAGTTTAGCAAACAAACATCCTTCGCCTTGCTTTAAATCATGCTGAAGTAAAACATCAGCTGGTGCTGGCTGCTCAATTAAGCAGTTTGTCGTGCAGCCTTTGGAGAGGAAAACGCTGAGAAATAGGATTTCACAGCACATGCGTATTGCGTGGAGGAAACGTTGCCTGAGAAGCTGTCCAAACCCACCTGCAATTCCCATGTGCTGCCATTCGCTGTCATGCAACACGTGTGTTGCCCTCAAATTTGGAGGATGGCTTATGGCTGTATGTACCTGTGGTGTGATGACCAACAGTACGTGTATAGGTCACAGCAGGTATATGTTTTAGTTAATTCCGTGTGTAGTCCTGATGTGGGAGCAAGGAGCCATTGTTCCCCTCCTAGAGGCTTGAGCACATTTTTTGGGGGAAATGTTAGATCTCCTTTTCCTCAGTGAGGGTATTTAACCCCAAACCACCCATTGCCACGCTGGTGAGGGAAGGGGTGCTGTTTACCTGTCAGTGCTGGCACTCTGCCATGGGAGCTTGTCCATCATGTCCACTGTTGCAACTGAAATTGCAATTGTTCAGCCTGGAAAAGAGAAAGATCCTTAAGGGCAGACCTTAGAGCAGCTCCCAGTGCCTAAAGGGGCTATAGGAAACCTGCAGAAGGGCTTTGAACAAGGGCCTGTAGGGACAGGCTAAGGGGAATGGCTTTAACCTGCCAGAGGGGAGACTGAGATGAGCTCTTAGGCAGAAGCTCTTCCCTGTGAGGGTGCTGAGGCGCTGGCACAGGGTGCCCAGAGAAGCTGTGGCTGCCCCATCCCTGGCAGTGTTCAAGGCCAGGTTGGACACAGGGGCTTGGAGCAAGCTGCTCTAGTGGAAGGTGTCCCTGCCCATGGCAGGGGTTGGAACTGGATGAGCTTTAAGGTCCCTTCTACCCAAACCAGTCTGTGATTCTGTGATTCAATGAAATGGTGATGCTGGCCATGCACCAGGACTCTTGTCCTCATTCCCTTGCTCCTCATGGTTATGTTCCATGCTGGTTTTACTGTGGTTGAGATCTGCAATGTCACCATTGTGGCAGCTCTCCTGAGGTCTCTGAGGACCTGTTTTGGAACTGAGAGCATCCTGATTCCATTTCCCGACCATGGGAACCTACGTGTCCACTCGATGAGACATATGGGTATTTCTTCTGGTGTTTCTGCCCTTCATAACACCTTGATCCATGGGGTGTGTGTAGGGCTCAGCCTGCAGAAGCCCTACATAGCTGTGGGTGTCCCAGAGGACACATTATAGGAGAGGACAGGATTACTTGCTGTCTCACCATATTGCTCCCCCCAGCCACCAAACATCCTTAACAGGCTGTGTAAGCAGTCGCGTGTTCTGCATCTCCATCATTCTCGCTGAGCAGCTTTGATGGCTCTTGATGCGTGCGAGTGAGGCCCCATCCAGCACGAAGGGAGGGAACAAGCAAGAGGGGCTTATGTTTTCCACTGATAAATGTATTAGTCTTTATAGCAGAATTTAAACTACAACCCTTTTTCAGGCACCTCAGCACTCCGTTATTTTGCAGGCCTTGTAAGGGAATGTGATTTTGCCTTTTAACTGGAGTGTATCTTATGCTAAGCAGGGAGATTAAGAGTAGGGATCCAAAAGAAGTTGCTGAATGGCAGAATTGCCTTTATAAATAACATTAATAATTTATCCGATCCAGGGGTTTTTTGGGTAAATGAAATACCTGCCTCTGTGTAAAAGCCCACTGACTAGAAACACATCTCTGCTTTTATGAGGCTTGGATTAAAGAAGGAAAATGCTAAGGGGCTTATCTTTGCTTCAATTTGCAGCCCTTCCGGCTAGTGGCAAACTCATTTAAGAAGCTCCTGTGTTTGTGCCAACTCTGCTTTTGTTCTCGGTGCTGGAGCTTGGCTGCATTTTTTGCCACGGCACTGGAGAGAACAGAGGGGAAGCAGTTTGTTTTCTTGACCTCAGATTACCAGACAAAAGCTAGCAAGAATAATTTCCCTTGGAGCCCTCCCTATTATGGGTTGCTTAAAGAATCTGCAGGGCGGCTGCAGAGAAGCTGGCGGTCCAAGGAACCCACGTGTGAAAGAGGACAGGGCTGGTGGCTGAATGGAGATGAGTCGAAAGAACATGTGTCATCTTTCTGCTGGGACGCCTGTATCCTCCTGCATGGGCAGTCGTGAAATGGCAAAATTCATCCTCTGCAAAGCCCACGAGCTGTCACTTCTCAGCTCTTCTTTTCTGCTGGTAAAAATCAATTGCTTCAAAGTTCACTGAAGGTGAAGGCAACATTTGCTTTCCATTCAGTGCTAAGCGGGCCGTCTTGGAGAGCAAATGCTCTCGAAAGGGAGAATAGCAAAAATCAGCAGAAAAATTCTCTGAATAATTTGGACTAGGAAAGGAAAAAGCAATTTACTCCCAGTTATTCCACAGACAAAAGTATGAATAAAAAAATCAGGAGCTATTTACTCTGCCTGGACTGTTTGCACGAGGTTTATGCTATTCCAGTTTTGCTTCATCAACCCCCAAAGACCTTATCACTGGATCCTCAGGCACTTAAGGAAAGCATGCTAGATCAGCAGGGACCAAAAGCAGAGAAAACAAAAGGGGTCCTAAATCTGAACCATGCTGTTCCTTGAGTGTGCATTGACCTGAATCACAGACCCGGGCTCTGGCCAGCCAACACTACCAGTAGTATTCCAAGCTTGGGTGCTTTGTATTCAGATAGGAGGCTGTGGCAAAGGCAGGGTGGGTATTTACAATCTGCTTTAGAAAAACCTTATGCATGTTGTTAGCTGTTCTGCTGTAAAGGCAGTTTATGTTCCCCACATCTGCTGTTTTAGGTGGCCCAGCCAGACAGCTGGCACAGCTCAAAATGCTAGAGACAGTGCTGCTGCAATGAGGAGAAGAAAAAGAAAGGAGGATGAAGACCTCGTAAGCTTTATCAAAACCCACCAAAAAGTCAGGAGATTTGGGGATTACACCGTGTAATTACATTACCTTAAGAGAAAAGTTTACTGAAAATTCCCTGTTTTGTGTTGCCAGCGCTTTTCAGCCATTAGTAACACATAACTTCTCATTGTCTTTTCCCGAGGCACAGATGGGCTAATTTTCAGCTACCTGATAATTACACATTGTTTGAAACGGTATCAAAAGCTTCTGTTCCTGCATCCCTCCAGCAGCAGTTCTTACAGCTCACAAAGTCCCTTGTCTGGAGCTTGCGAGGGTCCTCATCCATCAGTTCATCCATCCATCTGGAGGGCTGAGAGCGGAGGGGCAAAGCCTCCATGCTCACACACAGGCTTCACAGGCTGCTTGTACAGATCTCCACCACTTCCAAACCAGGAGGAGAACCTGAAGCTCCATCAAAAGCATCCTTTTGGCTCGATGCCAGTATCCGTTTGATATGGGATAAAGCTGCACCAAAATGGTTCTGCTTAAATACGCATGGGGATGCTGATGTCATGGGGGAATTAAGGATAAACCAACATGAGATGCTGGAAATCAGTGTAACAGAGGTTTAGTCTCAATTTCCCTTGGGAAAGGAGCTGTCCTTGGGCAAAGCTGTGGTTTGCCAAATTGGAAAAAGGCAGCTCATTGGCTGTATAGAGAGGAAAGCTGACAGTACCTC